CTAATTTAAAACCATTTAAACTATTACAGCGGAAGTCTTTGAATCATCAAAATCTAACTTAAGTTCTAACCCACCTTCTCTTGGGGTTAAGTTACAAAAGATCATTACAGCACATCTTAGACAAAAGACTAACATGAGATGATAATGAGCAACTCTCTAAGCATGTCCCTTGCCTTTATCCGCCATCGAACTACCTGGGCCTGAGATGCATACTATAGTCAGCTGATAAAGCTCAGTGAGTTCATGGTTTTCGTGTATAAAATCATTGTACGTCATACATTTCAACTTGTAAACTTTATACCATGTAGCATGCAATTTCTGAAAACATGCAACACTGAAAGAAATGAGATCTCATAAATTATCTGTCTGGAATGGGTCATTTAGTCACAAACACACCCTGGGTTGATACTTCATTCTCGATTGATTACCCACTTGTCCGGGTAGTGTTTCATACTGGTCGTGACTTATTAGTCACCAACACGCCCTGGGTATCAAAATCTTAACTTATCATCCACTTGTCCRGGTAGTGTTTTATACTRGYCGTGACTYACTGGTCAAATRYCCACCCTTAAATCATCARACTTTGGTATGGAAAAWCATGCTAGAGTTTTCGAAAACTGATTAAACACATAGCATGCAACTTATCATAAAACATCATACATGTAAAACATATCATGTATGTAAACTTAAAACATCATGTATTTGTACCATCATCATATAAATCGTATAGTGCTTGAAAATAAGTTTATACATAGGTATGCATCCCATTGTAAGTCTCATGAAGACTCACCTGATAACGTCGATTGCTTACTTAACGGCGCTGACTGGTAACCTACAATTTTTAATAGCGAATAGTACATAAATTTCTCCAAGGACTATAAAAGTCAACTTACGGTCAACTATGTCAACTAGGGTTATCATTGGTCAACTATTCGCTTGTTATTTAAAAGTCTTATCAAGCCATCGGGGCTAAGGATGAAACTCTAAGGCTGCCTCTGTGCTAAGTCWTGGAGARGGCCAGAGCCTCWGTGGTTGACYAGAGCCTCTGTGGTGTCGAYCRGAGCCTCYGTGGTATCAACCAGAGCTTCTGTGGTCTCTTTCTTCYAGAGCTTCTGGTCTCACGACCAGAGCCTCTGTGGTATTTACCAGAGCCTCTGTGGTTGAGCCTTGGGAAATAATTCGGTACCAAGGACCAGAGCCCCTCTGTCGTCTCTCTTACAGAGCTTTTGTTTGAACCATACTTAGAATAATAATACCATACCAAGGGCAAGAGCCCCTCTGTGGTCCCTCCTCCAGAGTTTCTATCTAACATAACTTGATACAGAGCTCTCACGCAGAGTTTCACTATAACATAACTTGATACGAATTCCGTCTAACACAACTTGATACAGAGCTCTCACGCAGAGTTTCACTATAACATAACTTGATACGAAGCTCTCATGCAGAGCTTCTGGCTAACATGACACAAAGCTCTCACGCAGAGCTTCTGTCTAACGCATTTGATACAGAGCTCTCGTGCAGAGCTTCTGTGTAACATTCTCTAAGGTGGCTTCTAAGTAGAATGCGATACAGCGTGTTTAACAAATGAAATCTAATCCTTGAAATCGAATCCCAAAACACAAAGTTTGGACRTGAGCCTTCTAGGGTTCTATACAGGGCCAAAGTCACGGCTAAACATTGTTTAAATCATAAATTTGGTCGAGTATTTACCTCTAAACGACGGGAAGCA